CTCAGAGAACAGAACAAATTGCTTTGGGAGTTGCTTGAACATAAACAAAGTTGGTTTTCCAAACCATATGAAGCTAGTACTTTGGGGTTGCAGATTCCTTCAAGGTACTTCATGATGGAAGGCATTGCACACAGTTTTCAGTGTGCTCCAGCCAAAACAAGACTCTAGGTGTTTGAAAACTGTGCAAAACAAGGTATCACTTCTGTAGATCTCCTTGCTTAGGTTTGCTGATCGTCAGTATTACCTGGGCAACTTTTAATCTAGAAAATCTGATTTTTATACGTAACCTTTTTTTTTGATGTCATGGATTTATCTGAAGATATTACAGAGCTTTGAATGAATATTTGTGTTGTTCCACTTGAAGTGGATATATACTGAAGGGTAATAATGAATATTTGGGTGGAAATCAACAATACTTCATGGGTAAATATACACTGACCTCTAAGAAAAATAAATCTACTAGTGTTGTAAGGCCAAAACAAAAACCGTGGCAATGATGGATTTCACAGTAGTCTATTTTTAGTATAAGTAACTCTGTTAGACAAGTTGGTGCCCATCTCATCTCAGGTACCTTTCTGTTCTGATAACCCAGTCCCTTTAATGTAAAAAGCTTGCCTTAGATGCATTCAGAAGGCTCTGAGCGGGATTAAAAGCCTAAGAGCACCTCGTATAATAGCCTTCTGATAAAAGAATGCTTTACCCCCTTACCCTCCCCTTGGGAAAATACTTAAAACCAGAATTGAAACCAAGGTCAGTGGGAGACTCCAAGGCCCATTTTCATCACGATGCTTCGGTATAGCCTCAGCTTGAGTCACCTCAACCTCAGTTTCAGGCCTTTTTTTCTCTCCCCTCCCACCAGTTTCTTCCCAGCTCAGCTGCCCCAACACTCAGCACTGGAACAACCCTCCACCTCCCGAGGATGGCCAGCACACGGATGATGAGCTCAGCCCTCTGACACCGGCGGCTGGAGGAGGTGGCACGGAGTGCCAGGGTACACGGACCCCCTGCTGCCCACACTCCTCCTCCCTTTGCAGGCCCCACACCCTCAGACAACACCGGGCTGGAAGAAGTGTCACCCTTTCCATGAGCTACAGCTGAAACACGGCGGGAATCTTGATGGCGGGTGAATATTGAGGCAGGTTCAGTGCCCTCAAAGCTGAGGAGGAACCAGGTGTGCTGCCAAGGGAAGCATCTGGGTGGCCCGTCCCCGGGGCATGCAGAAGCACCGGGAGGAAGCAGCGAGTGACAGCAGCGGCAAACCCTCCGCTGCAAGGGATGGACACACACACACACCTGCCAACCTGACCTGTTGTACACAGAAGTTTGCTGCTCGCCCCCTGAGAGCTTGTGGGCAAGGATGAAAGAGCAGACCAACACGGCTGACAAGGCAGCGAGCGTGCAACGGGCACAAACTGAAACATGGGAGCCACCATCTGAAGACCAGAAAACAAGTTTCTACTGAGAAGGTGACCAAGCACTGGAACAGGTTCCCCAGAGAGGTTGTAGAGTCTCCATCCTTGGAGATACTCAAAAGCCATCTGGTCCCTACACCCAGCTGTGGGTGGGCCTGCTTGAGCAGGGAGGTTGGTTGAGGTTGGAAGGGACCTCTCTGGAGGTCACCTGGCCCATTCTGTGAATTCACCTCTTCCCTTGAAGCCAGCTGATGCTCCACCGGCCCCTCGATCACCGTTATCGTAGGGATCGTACAATCCCTACGATACCAACACCCTGCAGCTTCGTGACTGCCAGACGTGAAGGTTTGCGTTATCTGCTGCCATTGGTTTCCCTTAAGAAGCTTTGAAAACAGGCACTACGTATTTTTTTGCAATTTATCAGTGAGATGACAACAGTAACGCTTTGTATTTTTAAGATCTTAACTCATCAAGCGTTCTGTGATCATTTTAGAAGCACTAAGACAGCCCCACAGGCAACTGGCCAGATTGTGCTATAAAACTTCAGCTAGAGCTCACCACTGCTCAGGCTGCAAGGGTAAGCACTACCAGCAGTACAATATCACAAAAATACCCCAACTGAAATGTAAAATTCCAATCCCTCTCGGAAACAGGCATGCCAATCTTCGTAAACCAGTTCATGTGCAAGAAGTGATCAGTTTTTGTAGAAGTTCCTTTTATTTTGCAAAAAATTTAATATTCGCTGTTGTACAAAATATACCTAATAGGTGTAATGTTGACACAACTAGATAGTTTGCAAATTACCTAGTTGAAGAGAACAAATCTTCACAATTTTTTAGGCGATCCACGACAAGTGAATTAAACATTTTGAAGTATTTCATTTGTAAGCTTTACACAAATGTTATTTGGTACTTAGTATCTGTAAACCTTAATGCTTTATACAAAGTTTTCATTCACATGATTAGAAGATACAATGAAAATAATGTTTTACAGTTCATTTTTCAAGCATCTCAATTAACTTTCTACTCTTGGTTTTACAGAAATAGCTGGTTCAGTTCAGAACTTTACTTGTTAAGAGAGAAAAAGAAGTAGAAGTGATTCCAAATTTGTGCTTTGTTTAAAAACGGGCAAAAAAGGCAAGTAACTAATTATCTATGTTTGTTGAAATGTAAAAGAAAAAAAAAAAAAAAGTAAAACATTTTTAAGGTAAATTAGACTAGAAAACATTATTTTGATTTCAATAAGTTATTATTTTAACTCCAGAGTGGCAAGCTGGCAACTACCTACTTAAAACAGCCAACGCCAATTCAATTAAAGCTCATACAAATTTGGTCTATTCTTCTAGAACAGTACTACTATTATATTTCAGGAAAGAAACCGTATTTCCAGAGGTTTCTCTACACCACCCCCAAATAACTTTCAGAAGAGTGCATTCTGTTATTTATCCTAGGTCCTTCTGAACTATAGCACTTTCACACAATTAAAAAAAAAAACCCAACAAACACCAAATATTAAAAGGAGGGGGGAGACATTAACATTCCCTTAGAAGGCGTACAGCCAATACCCCAGACACAAAGAAGCAAGGACATCACCAGGGGACAGACCTTCACCTGGCAGCAGGTCAGCAGAGCTCCACTGGCATCAGCAGAGCTCTCCTGACCGACACCAGCCGCAGATCCGCCTGTCCATGGACAGCAAAACTCCTTCAGGTTAGTGATGAAGGAGACAGTGTCCAAAGGAGTCGCGTCAGCACGCATTTTTTTAAATCAAGGAAGTTCGTTAACACCTTGGTTCTCATCTAGTATTCCGCTGCTGGGGACTGCTGCCCTCCCCACTGGCGGGGGATCTGGTTCAGGGCGAGTTCATCGCCACTTTCAAATGACAGACTAAAATACATTTCACGTTGGTCGATGAAGTTAGTTCTTATAAACATTCTGAAGCCCATTTACAGCGTGAAACAGAAGGTTTTTAAAGTACTATTTCATAACTCTGCTAAGTTTTTATACTGTTACGGGTTTTCGCTGACCATAATTTGTGCGGAATGAACTGCAACCACTGAAGTCAGCAGCAGCTGTGCGCCGAAGTTCAGAGCAGCGTGACTCTCTGTTGTTATTAATAATTCCTTTTACAGATCATTAGCTACACTAAATTTTTAAAATTATCTCCCTAAGGCATATGTTTACAGAGCAAATCCTAAAAGCAGAATAACAGCAACAGAAATAAGTGATTGCACAAGTCTGTCACAGGCAGGAAGACGCTGGTTTAAGGCACAAGAGAGTTCCCGGAGTGCAGAGGACAGATTACTTAACCAGGAGTGCAAATATTAAAAACATATAAAACTTAGGAAGCAGAGGCTGAACTCCAGAAACACCTTACGGCAGCATTCAGGTCTCACTACCGTCATCTGCCAAAGGTATTTCAGACTTTTGTATATATATATAGTGTATATGTATGCTTGGTCCAGTACAGTAACAAATGGGATTGGGATGGTTTCTGCCCGAGAGCTGTGTCAGCGCTCACCTCCACAACCACCACGTAACACACTCAAACCAGACAGGTTATCGGAGCGTGATTTCGCACCTCAGATGAAGCTGTCTCTAAAACACGCTACCACTCCCTCCGAGCTCTATCTTCTGCCAAGTTCTACTTGCAGAAAGAGGCAGTTTAACCAAGTCTGTAACTTTAACAAGTGAAAAAGGCCGTGGGGTCAGCTACACTGGACAAAACTCTTGGCAAAGTTCATCACTTCGGCAATGACACTACGTTAAAACTCACAAGAAACTGAGGTACAAACTTAGGTCAAGTAAACATGAGATTTGTCATTTGAAGCACGATAGTTACCCCTATTTCCTGATTATCTTTTTTTTAAATCTTATTTCCTTAAAAGAAAAACATATACTCGCATACAATGCTGATACCCTACGTGGAGATGCCATAAATCCCTTAGGATAGCAAGTTTGATGGGTGGTAACCCATTAGGAGAAAAATATATTTTTGAATATTATTTTACATATATACAATATATATATATATTTAATTTTCAATCAAAATATAAAGTTTTCTAAGGTATTCATCAGTATTTTTCATGTGAAAAGTGAAAAAGTGTTTTGTATCTCAGTTCGTATAAGTTAAAAATTAACAAGGTATTTTATATCCACCAGTAAAGTTTTTTGTTTCATTCCTAGAGGATTAAAAGAAAACAAAGAAACAGTGAGTTAAAAAGCTTTCCTTCTCCAAAGCCAAATACAATAAAATTTTGAAGCTGAATAATTAATTAAAAGGACAACACCAAGTTTTGCATTTTAAGTAACCACAAAGAACAGGAAACGTAATCTAAGTAGAAACTAGCGTTACTACATTAACATAGTCTAAAGAAAATAATATTTTGAATATCTTATTTTTGATGCAGTGTGTCTAGCAGAGATAAAAAAAAAATTGTGGTAAGTTTAAAGTAAGAGTTACTTACAGTCTCACCAGTCTACATTAATTTTGATAAACCTCTCCCCTCCTCAGCTCCACAATACCTAACATCACAAAAGCACGACAGCCCCTTATTTACAGGTTTTTTCAGCACTGTGAAAGGCACGTTTATCTTTTTACGCATGTTTCTGCTAATGTCCTAAACTTGGGTTCCAGCTGATCTAAGAAGTCAAGTGCCTCTTCTTCATGCTGATCACTGCAGCAGCCTACAGAGCCAGCCAAGGATCCTTTTCCTTCATAGTTATATGAAAGGAGATAATCTTCAGAATGCTTCTGTTCTTCATCCTGTCTGCATAGGTGCACCTTCTGCATAGGAAGAGAACACACCTTCTTATTTTCTTAAATTGTTATCCTAAACGTATTGCATAAAAATAATTTCTTTTGATTTACCTTTCATTGATTAATTTTTAATCAGAGTGTGTCCTCTAATGGATTCCTACATACAAAAAACGCACATGATTGGTCTATATCATTAAGACTACAAATTATAAGTATTTAATAAAGAAATCATTTCTACTAATCATGTATGTAACAATAAAAGAGGAAGAACCTGTTTAAAGAACCTGTCAAGCAACTAAAATCCACTCGAAATTAAAAGACTGACTTACACATAACTAGTCAGGCAAGTAGTGAGAGTTTTTGATCTCCAAAGCACGGGGTAACTGCATTTCTACGGCTACACTTTCATTCCTGCACCACTGCTAAGGGAAGTGTCGGGTTTAAGTTAGTACAAAGCAAGCAGTTAGAGTAACAGCAAACAGACGGTCTCAGAAAAACTCACAAAAGCTTGAGTAAAGTAATTACTCTTAATGAGTAAATATTCTAAAAGAAAAAGTAGCATAGTGCCTACAGTTTAATCCAAGAAAAGAAAGTCATTTACACTTATGTCTAAAGTACGTAAAGGACGGCCAAAGGGGATGAAGGAGAGGAAAAACCAAACCAAACCAAACCCAGAGCGCCACCTTTCTAGCACAAGTACACGTTTTCCTTGAAAAGTCTGTACAGATTGACCTACACTCCAAAAAAAAAAACAAACCAAACGAACCCAGCTGCAGAATACTTACTTCCCCTAAACGAGGATGGGTGAAATTATGCCATTCCGAGTAGGAGTATCTACATGTATCCACCACAGGCTGTCCTCCTCCTTCTTTAACTGATCCCAGAGTCTGATGCCCGCCTCCCTTGACCGATTCCAAGGTATGCCCTCTTCCTTTTACCATTTCAAATGTTTGTTGTTCTCCTGTTTTTATTCCATATCCTCCTTGATCACTTGTGTTTTGGAAAGGAATTATATTGTGATCCTGAAAAGAGATGCAGCAGTGGAGATACCTTTACTTTTTTCCCTCCCCACACTCTTTTTTTTTTATTTAATTCAAAAGATGACACGGCAATCAGGAAGTGTCAACACTGAAAACTGGAAAGTCACCAGCTTTGCACTGTGGTATTTTGAACAAAAAGCTGTACTTTGTGTATAAAGAGCAGTAAGTGGCCTTGGGAAAGGATACCGTGACAAGGTATGTGGGGGGGGGGAATAATCTGCCTTTAAATATGATATGAGATCCAAAAACTGAATCTTTTTCCCAGTGAAAGCTGTACTATAATCCATATGCAAGCTTCTGAAATCATCATGTAAAAATAATGTTTGGTTTTCAAAATCAACAACCTGTAACCCATTAAACCAGACACACCGTCATATGCAGAAGTTTCATTCTGTTTCTTCACACAACAAGTCTGTGTACCGAGTGAAATGTGGAAAAAACAGTATGGGATCACAAATTAGAAACTATATTATCAGTTTGTAACGGCACTACGTTATGCTTCATAAGCAATGAGAAATGTCACACTTGGCACCGTTAGGATTTCCTGGTTTTCAAGGTGAAGTAAACTCAACGGGTTTTAAACTAATCTCCTTTTCTTGGGGAGGGTGGGGGGCAAAATAAGCAGGAGG